AATTTGCTGATGAAAAATTGAACTTGTTTTGACATTAAAAAAAAAATCAAAAGCTTCCTTATAGTCATGATGTTAGCCTGAATTATATAAAACACTGCATCAAATAGAACAACAAAGTAATTACAGATGTTTATCCTAAGAAAACAAAATTAAACTGAACCAGCCTTTTAAACATTCTGATGTGTTCGGGAGTATAGATTGCTGAATTAACGAGGTGCACCTAAAACCACCATGAATACCGAACCCATATTGTAGCGTACAAAATGCTGAAGGCGCACAAACTTTTTTTTAAGTGTGGATGTTGTGACCGCGGTTCAGTATGGAAGCATCCAGCTGTGGACATTCACTCACAGACAGCCTCTGCTTCTGCTTTCAGCACTCTTTAGTGTAGTGCAAAACCTGCAAACATTTTTATAAATCAGAAATAATAAGAATTTACTTACAGAGGAAGATGGAGCAGAAGAAAATGTGACAGAGTTTCATCTCGAGGTTCTGACGGCTTAATGTTTAATGCTGCTTCTCTTACTTCTCTGTTTGGAAACAAGGAACTTCTAACTTCTCTTATCCTCGCAGTCCCTCCTTCAAATTCACACTCCTGCGCTTTGATGGTTTTTTTTCTACTACAGAGTCAAAGATTAAGTGTCCATTTATTTATGGGTTTCTTTTAAATCGTCCTTCAGAAGTTCCAGAAGTTGATTCTTTTGGTTTCTAGAAGTCTGACCTGCGTCTCACAGAGCAGACTTTTCAGACTTGATCAAATTCACTTTAATTTAGCTGTCTGGCTGTAGTCCAGTTTCGTGTGAAACCAAAAACACTGCATCATCTAAAAGCAACTCGACTACTAAAAAAAGCTTTGACACTGACAGAGAGGAAGTTTTGAGCCATCAAAATAGAAAATTTCAAACAAAAATCTATTCACTCACTTTATTACTCAATTGTACTGAGATTGTACTAAGATCATCTGAGTACAGTTAACTCACTTTCATCTTCAGTAAACAAGTTTGAAGTCATTTGAGTTTCGTGACACTGCACTTTATTCACTTGAAGGAACCATCAGATGGTAGGTACATTATGATCATAAAGCTGGACATGGTCAGCAAAAATAATCAGGTAGGTTCTCAGTTGGCCATATTGAATGTGAGTATTATAAGAATGTGCGTCTGACAGAAAATAAGAAAAAGCAGAACAGGTAAAAAAAATGTGGTGTTTCATCTTCTTATATGTGAGGGAATGAATTACAGAATACTTTGCGGCCATGACCTGTTGTAAAGTTTGAGTTTCAGGGTAGAAGCAGAAGTTGTATTTAACATATAGAAAGTGAACGCGCATTAAGGAGAAGTGGGCTGTGTAGCCTGTGCTTTGTAAAGTTCAAACGCACATTTTTGTTCATCTTTTCTGTAAGAAAATTGTCACTTGTTTGAGACATAACGCCCTTATTTATAAATGGCTCGTACAACCCAGTTGATTTTAAAGTGTGCTGAGGAAACACATTGTAACTGATGTTGCTGGATGTTCACTGTCTGGATTCCTCCATCAGAGGTCAGAGATACAGAGGTCATACATACGAATGAAATGATGGCAGCTCATTAAAGGCTATGTTAGAATGTTTCAGTGAAATCAAAGCCTGGATGGCGTTAATTTTAAACTTTAGTGACAGCAAAACTAATTCCACTTATCTGGGTCATGGGGGCAGTAGCCTAAGCAAGGAAGCCCAGACCTCCCCAGCTACCTCCAATACGGGGGAACACCAAGGCGTTCAGGCTGACAGATATAATCTCTCCAGCATGTCCTGGGTCTGCCCTGGAACCTCCTCCTGGTGGGATATGCAGAACACCTCACCCAGGAGGTTGTATATGTCTGAAATAAAGTTATAAAAATAATAATAATCCTTGTCAGATGTCTGAACCACCTTAACTGGCTCCTTTTGATGTGCAGCAGTCGCTGTACTCTGAGCCCCTCCCGATAGCCAAGCTCCTCACCCTATCTCTAAGGGGGAGGCCAGCCACTTTTCTGAGAAAGCTAATTTCTGCTGCTTGTATCTGCCATCTCTTTTTTTCAAACACTACCCAGAGCTCGTGACCATAGGTGAGGGCAGGGATGTAGATCAAGAACTTTGTCTTTACACTCAGGTTTCTCTTCACCATGATGGACCAGTATGGTGTTGGCATCACTGCAGCCACAACACCAATCTGTCAGTGGATGTCCTGCTATCCTCTGTCTTCACTTGTGAACCAGACCTCAAGAACTCCTCCACTTGGGGCAATAACTTGTTCCTGACCCGGGGTGGACACTCCACCTACTTCTGACTGAGGTGTCCTAAGACTTGGAGGTGCTGATTCTCATTCACACCGCTTCACACTCAGCCCCTCTCTTCACCAGAGTCCAGAACATACAGCTGCAGATCTGCTGATACAATTGTAAAATCACTGACCTTCTGGCCTAGGGTGGACACCCTTATGATCAAACATGGTCTTTGTTATTGATAAACTGTGGTTTGCACAGAAATTCAGTAACAGAACACACTGTTCCTCTCAATTGGGCCCCTCCAGGTTACATTGTTATTGCTTACATGAGCACTGAAGTCTCCCAAAACGATGGGAGTCACCAGATGGAGCACCCCACCCTGGGACTCCAAGAAGCCCGGCCATTACCTGACCAGAGGTTTCAGGGAACCCTCTTGTCTACAGGGAGAAACACCAACGTATTGGTAGCAAGCCAAGGGGATACTGGGATATAGTCCAACCTCTTTCCAGGAGACTGGACTTATCCAAGGTTTTGAAACTCATCTACCTTCACTATCTCTGCTGTGATTAGATGGAAATTGTGTTGTTTAAACTAATTTTAATTTCCATTTATTATAAGAGAATTTGAAGCAACATGTGTTGGCTTACCGTCTGCTGCTAAATTGTTTTGCTACATTGTGCAACATCAGCTACAAGCGATAATCAAACAGTTTTCTTCTATGCCACTTCTGCATGAGAACTTATCTGACTCAACAGCACAACCTTGTGGGGGAAATTGTGTAGTGCACACCTTAAACTTTGCAGGTCAGGCCAGCCCAGGCAGGGTTAAACTGACAGTTTTCATTGTCAGTTTTTACATTTATGTTAGGCTACTTTTAATTAACTGCTTTAGCCCACTTACAATGAAAATTTAAAAAAATCTTATTCATGACCTGTGTAGTATGTAGAACTCCAATTTCGAAAACACAACTTTCTTTTCTTTTAGTTTTTTTTATAAAGCTCTGACTTGTATTATGAGTATGAGTCTGTGGTCTGGGAGAGAGTCCTGTAACTCTGTCTGCAAAATACAGTATATAATGACCAATGCTGGGCAGTTAATTATATAGTTACTTCTTCAAAAAAGTTACTGAGTTTGGCAAACAACAAAGTTTTTTGCAGCTATTTTGTTTTAAATGCAGCCAAGGCATTTTTAAATAAACATTTCAAACTATTTACAGAACAATCAGCTGTTCTGCATCAAATCTGATGCCACGCAAATTATTTGTGCCACTCCAAAAATAATTTCTGTCCACTATGAGATAAAGGAGAACAACAGCCTGATACCTGCAGGCCTGACAACAGGAGATGTGTCACTCCTGTAACTCCTGTAACATTCAGCAGTCGCCTCATTGTTCTGACACACACAATAAAACTATTGACTACACCACACACTAACTACACACTAACTACACAGGATTTGCGCTAAACGTCTCAAATCTCTCACATCTCAAAGCACCGCTGTCACTCCTAAAACTTCCCCCGTTTCTTAACAACTAGATGCCATGTTGCCATATAATTTTTTGATTGGTCGACATGGTACTTTTTTGGACGAATAGGAAAGGGATAGGGGGGTGGGGTTTGTTTTTGCTCACAGGTGGAGAGTGCTTTCCAGCCTTTTTTTTTTTTTTTTAAATGCCGTTTTTTCTTCCTGCAGTAAATATAAACAACGACAGTATTCAGGAAGAAAACCAAACATTGCATTTTTTTTTATCATAACTCTGGTTTTACGTGGCCGATCAACAGAATTTAAAAACTGGTATAAAGTTCACACTTTTCCCGTCAATTTTTCCTTCTGTCCTGCTCACATCTCCAATGGTTGTACACGTTGTCATTAACGTGGCTTCACTCCACGTCAGCCACGCCGCTTTGCTCGCTAAAACACCGGTGTCGGCGCATAAGGACGCTGTCATAGCCTGTAAACGACCTTGATTGGCTGCATATATAGGCATATATAGGCATTACTGGCTGGACTATGGGATAAGGTGGCATCGTTCTAATCCCATATGGGAGCAGCCCATCACTGACTAACACTGCAAAACAGAATTGTTAAAGTTTTAATTTTAATTTAAATTCAGGTTAGATTTTTTTTGTGCGCAACGCAGATTTTCTGTGCGCAGAGACCGTGCCAGCAGTGCGCAATTGCGCACGTGCGCAGCTTAGAGGGAACATTGCAACCAATACAATGTGATAACACAGCACCAGTGACAGTTCACACACACACACACACACACACACACAGCACACACACACACACACACACACACACACACACACACACACTTGTGTTGTATTGTAGTTCTACAGTATGATAACAGGTCCTGTAGTCCCAACAGCTACATCGGAGAATAAATTGCCTTTCAATGCAGACACTGAAGAAATGTGTATCCAGACTTGGAGTATTTTTATTGAGAAAACACATGTTATGTACTTCTTTTGACCGTTCATTTCCTTGAAACACATCAAAATATTCTTACATTTTATTTATTTAAATAGTATAATCCTTCTAGTGACATATTATTTTACAGCAACACTATAAAAAATACATTAACATTGTTCAATAAAACATAAATCCATCCATCCATCCATCCATCCATCCATCCATCAATTCGCTTCCGCTTATCCTTGTCAGGGTCGCGGGGGGCGCTGGAGCCTATCCCTGCTGTCATAGGGCAAGAGGCGGGGTACACCCTGGACAGGTCGCCAGTCACACAGGGGCAGACAACCATTCGCACTCACTTTCACTCGCACATTCACACCTAGTGGCAATTTGGATTATCCAATTAACCTATCCCCACATATTAAAACATAAATGTAAAACCAATTTTAAATAAGAACACATATGTGCAAATGCAATATCTCAGAAAAATAATAATGTAATATTATTAATATTATATAGTAATACGTATTTAGTTACTCTCAGTGTAAGTGAATGATATGTGAGCCTTATTTAGACTGATTGGGACCTGATGAATGTAAAAACAAAGAATTACCTGATTATTTTTTTTTATACCTGATTTTTGTTTCTGAGAAAAATGAGATCCACATAAGAGGACATTCGTTTTAAATTTCGATAGAACAGCGGCAGTATAATGTCCTCGTAAGTGGATCTCTGGCCCTTGTAGAGCAAAATTGGGTATTTTGATGTCGACAACCCAAAATGTATTTTCCACATATGTGGATGTCAGGTCCTTGAAGGTTAAATAATGTATATGAAAGATGGATGTAGCCACCATGACAGTTTGTCAACCACCTGCTTGTAGCAGGTCACAGTTTATTTCTGCTGTGATTTTATACACAGGTAAAAGTTGTTTAGGACCAGGATGGCTTTGGTGAGAGTAAACTGGAATAATAACATAATATAATAACAATTTCTTTGTTTTTGTTTTGTTTTGCAGCTTCCTTAATTTGTTTCTTTTTAGTATCAGTTTTTTCAGGTCTGGTAAAAAACAAACAAACTACTATTTGATTAAAATAAATGCTTTTAAAATGATTAACCATGCACACCGTTAGCCACAGTTATGGAGCATGAGTTGAGACAGAATGGTCTTGAGGTAAACCTCTATCCAGACTGTTAGCCACAGTAAAAAATACAATTAGGGATCTCTAATAATGCTGCATGATTACAGACACAGGCTTGGTTATAGGATTACTATCTGGAAATACAACAGCTAAATGCAATGTACTACTCACAGGTCAGTTTGCAGAGCTTTATGCAACTGTTTCATTAAATCTGTCCTACAGAGTTTCTATGGAAATATTAATGGAAATAACAGGATTAGTTTTCTGTTAAGTTAAACTAAACTATCAACTACCATAAAGAAACATTTTTAACCTGAGATTAACTGATTGAAAGCACATTAATATTTGCAATAAACAGAAAAGAACATTCAGTTTTGTCTGAATTATAATCACTTGTTGATCTTTGTGAGAGGTAAAGTGCCATCAACAGCATTAAAACTGTTTCTTAACTGCAGAGTACAGAGGAGGTGAAGCATCTGTGGTGAGGTTGGAAGGGCTGGTATGTACCAGAGGTGTGGAGTAGACGACTTCATCCGTTTTACTACAGGATGTGTTGTTGGTGGCAGGAATGTTGGAAAAATCCACTTCAGCATAATTAACTTTATTCATGTCGTCTTCAGCCTGAAAGAAAAGTGAGATCAACCTTCAGACCCTTAAAAACGTGTTTGTAATTAAATAAAGGTTTATGGAGCTACAGCCTGAGACATCATTCTTTCTTGTACACATAAGTTGTACCCACATTTTGAGTGTGAAATCTTTAAAAACATAACCCTCAGCCATGTTTTCTGAATTGCTCTTTAAGTTATATCTAAACAAAAAGTAAACAAATCTCTCATGAATAAAACGAAAGTGTTTGTACCTAATAAACTGGACCCAAATCCTGTGCATTGAATTTGGCCATTTCTAGTCATTGCTATTAGCTGGTAGAAAGAAATGCAACAGTATATCCACAGGGCATAATAATAGTATAATATCCATCCATGACTACTGATGAATTACTTCATTACTCAGACTGGTTTGTCCTGGATTTGGACATCAGAGTTTAAAATAAGAAACGAGTTGTATCTACTTTGTTCTGAGAACAGGTGGTGAGGTTGTAGAGGTCGATGTTTTCAGCTCCATCTGGTTGGGGGCCTTTTGCAGTGGTGTAAATTGAAGACACTTCCATCTTCCTCTGTGGGGGCCCTTCTCTTATTTCTTGCTTGGCCTGCAGAAGGAGAATAAACCAGATGGTTGATACAAACAAAGCGATAATGAAACTCAGGTGTCTCACAGTTCCTAAAACTCACCCGTGTAATGTTGGCATACTCTGTTTCCACAGGAGGTCCTGAAAATGCAGGTCATAAAACAAACATCATTTAACATAATTGATAGTCTGACCTGTTTAAAGCCAGGCTGGAACACTACTGACTTTATAAGATCATTTACTGAATATCTCAGCTTTTTCTTTAATACACAATAGAATTTAAACAAAATGTACATGAGTCAGTTTTAGTTTTTATTCTGTCAGCAGCAGAGATCAGTGGGTGTTAAATTCATACCTGATGACTAGGTCTGCAGCATAAGTTTAGATTAACTGTAATGTCGGGTTAATCTCCAGGAAATTAATGTGCATCAGTATGATGTGCTCTGTAAAGATGAAACACTGCTGTGTGTTTATTGTAGGCTCACCTTTGGGTTTAATGGCCTTCCTGTTCTTGTAGAAAATCAGCAAAGTTGCTGATAAGACGATGATCATAAGAACCAGAGTCAGAATCATGTAAAGCAGCTTATCTGCACCTCAGCAGAACAGAGTTTTAGTGTTACTCTCTTAATCAATAAAGGTTAACTGATGCAACTAAAGACACACAAACTGTTACACTGATACTTGTATAAATTCATGGAAAGAAATCTGAGAAACTGCTGAGTGATGGACCAACAACATCTTTGTCTGCCACTAAGAACTCATGTAGTGAAACTCTAATGAAGTCAGGCATGTTCTCACTCAGCTTTTAATGCCCGGTGGTTTAAACTTCTTGAGTTCTTCATTCAGATGTTGTGCCATACTGCACTACTTTTATTTGATAACTTTGAAGTTTAGCTTAAAATAAAATGACTCTTGTACTTTACTTTTGGTACTTTAATTCTATTTTAATGTGAATACTTTTTTTTTCTTTTACTTTTAACAGAGTTGTGTATTTCTGCTCCGTGACTGTTTATAATTATACTTCAGGAATAAATCAAAGTGCTTCTTCCACTCCTGCTGATGTGTCATTAATGGACATGGATGAAGGTTCTTTGATAAACATGAGACTGATTCACACTCACACATTCACATGTGCATATATGATGTACCTGAGCCTGATGATGGTGTTTCAGGAGAGGTTGATGAAGGTGTGAAGCTTCCTGAACTGAAGTGTGTTGTTGTTGTTGTGGAAGCTGATAAGAGAAATGTTGATGTTGATAAAGGCTCATGAGGTGTTGGAGTGTCTGAAGCTGTGAACAAAGAAACAATCAGAATAATAATAATCCTGCTTGAAGCAGGTTTTCTGTCTGCATGTGAGTAATAGGTGTTAATGTGTGTTTACAGCACAACTCATGAAACTAAACGTGTAGTGTAAATATGACACATGTAGGTTATTTGAAAGATATGTAACTGTGATCATTGAGACTTTCACATCTTCAGGGACATGAAGAAGATTTTTTTTACTCACCTCCTGTGATGACAAGCTGGAAATCACATGGTTGTAAACTTGTGTCCAGTGTGCAGCTGTACCGTCCTGAATCCGACTTGTTCAGCTGTGTGATGCTGGCATGCACAATATCCTTTGAGAAATTTTTTTTTTCATATTTGATGCTGTATCTGCCGCTCTGGGCTGTGTAATCAGGTGTTTCAATGAGAATGTTTCCAGTTTCACATTTGTCTTTGCAGAACAATGTCTTTCTTCCAAGGATCACAAATTTGCATTTGACTGTGATGTTTCCTCCTTCCACTCCTTCATAGACGAGAGTTTCAGCGTTGGCAAGTCCAGTGTTTCCGTCCTGCAGGTCTGTAGAAAACAGGAAGAATCAATTCTTACCATCATGTAAAACACTGCAGTCCAATGATAAAGTATTTTAAATAAATAAAACTGGAAACAGATACTTATACACTTTATTTGAGTGCAACATTTAAAAGTACATCAGTTAAATTACATTTTTACTTGTCATTAGACTTTGTACAGACTTACACAGACCATCTGCTGAGAAAGACTCAGAATTAATCTCTTGAAAACCAACCTTTCATTTGTTTATGAGTTTATGGCATTTTGACGATGCTGCTCTAGTGTTCAGATTTTTCAGTTTAACACTACTTGGCTGCCCTGTTGTTCTTAACTAGCTTAATAAAAACGTCATGGAAAAATGATTGTTGCATTACAAGCTCTGAATAATTCAGAAAGAAGGAAGCAGCACTATTTACTTCCATACAGATATATTAGTATAAGACTACAGTCTGCATTTTAACTGTCTGTGCGAGAAAAGGCAACCTTAAGTTAATTTTTTTAGACATTATAGAAAAAACATTTGACTGGAAACAAACTGAGATAAAACATTTCTGGGCAAGGCAGTGGGACGAAACAAAATTTGAGTGATCTTACACTATGTGTAACCACAGGAACAGAGAAAGACAGAAACAGTTTGTGGTTAAAACGGTTCAACAGGGAACAAAACCTAGAGGTCAACTTTCTTATAAGAAAGCAACCAAATAAACACCGAGAGGAGAGAAAATTAAATATGAAGAAGAAGAAAATTTACTTACGGAGGAAGATGACGCAGAACAAAATGTGACAAACTTTCATACTGATGCTCCGAAGAGTTCAAGCTGATTCTCTCCCTTCTCTATTTACAAGCTAGGAACTTGTCACTTCTCTTATTAATGTGCCCCTTCCTTAAAATAAACACTCCTCCTGTCTGCAGTTTTTCCACAGAGACATGATAAGTGTCTGTTTCCATTTAAATTATCCTCCAAAACTTTACTCTTTTGGTTTTCAGAGTTCTTTTTTTGTCTCTACCAAAACAGACTGTATGGACTTCAATGACAATTTCTTTTAAATAATTGTCTGACACTGTACTACTGCTTCCCTCAGTTCGTCCCCCATTCTCTTTCAGCTCACCCCTCCGTTAAGACCAGCCTTCATTTAAGTCAGCTTTCTCCTGATTGGCTTGTAAGCATGAGTTTGTAACGGCAGGTGGGTGGAGCTTCCTGAGCTGTGTGTCAAAGATTGCAACATCTAAAATATCCCCTCTAACTGACGTCATACACAGAAAAGAAAAGAAAAGAAAAGAAAAGAAAAGAAAAGAAAAGAAAAGAAAGACTGTCTATCAAGTGAATGCTTGGCTTTGCTTCAAAGTTAGGGTGATCAGATGTTCCTCTCTTTGTGGGACTCGTAAGACTTTTATTATAGTCAGAAGACTTTCACGTGAGACAGTCTAGTGACCTGTCCACCTGTCCACCTGTGTCCCTGTGGGACATGCGAGGCTCAAGAATCCCGGAACCAATGAATAGTGCAAGCAAATTACTATCAGGAGGGACTATGCGCTTACCTGCTGCTCTCTGGCAGGTAGCTCCATGCCCCCTGGGTTTTAAATCACCTTAGAACACACATGCATCAACACTACATATGAGCGGGTGGAGGGAGGTATGGCGTCTTCACACCCCCGTTTTCTGTTGCCTGTTGGGCGGGGGGGCTAGGAGGAGTTGGCCGTCCGATTGGGGTCTGGAGTGTGGGGCCTCCCTGCTGCTGCAGAGGCGGTCTGCTTCTCTCCACCCCAGGGAAAAGGGTAACACCACCTGGGTCTGGGTGCAGTTTCCCCCTCCAGGAGCAAGGGTAAGTAGACCTGGGGCTTAGAGTACGCGTGGGGAGTGCGATTGTGTGTACAGTGTCTATTTATGTCTGTGTGTGCCTGTATGTTTGTGTCTATATGTCAGGTCGGGTATCAGACGCCACCTCTCTGGGGACATCTCCCCCCACCACTCCCCCTGCCATTGGCAGACGCCCTCAGGCATCGGTGCATTGGTGGTTCTTTGTGTTCGGGGATGGGCATCCAGGTACGCACCGGCTCACTCCTTGATGGCTTCTTGTCAGGGCCTGGAGCCTGGGGCTCGCTCGGGCTCCTTCGGGGGTGGGGTGCCCTCGGCCTCTCGACCTGTGGCTCGGTCACTCTGGCACAGCTGAGTGACTGAGTGACTCCCCACACCCTCCAGCAGATCATTACATGAAGGAACCTTTTAAATACAAGCGCGCTCATGCTCACAGGTGTACACACGGGTGCTCACACACACAAACTACACCCTTTTTGGCTCCTACCTTAAAGCACACTGTGCGCTGTTGATCTTACGTGCTGCACAATAATATTTAATATTTAGTATTTACTGTTATATTCACATAGATCATCGCAATGATGTTGTTTATTATATTGTTCTTTTTTTTGCTTGTTTTCTCTTTTTTCTTTCTTAGCAGGTGATCCAGGTGATTGAAATTTGTATTTTCTGTCTGTTTGTTTTGTTGGTTTTTGTTTTTTGCCCTTTATCACCGTTCCTCTTCCCCGCTGTTTTTCTTTCCCTCTTTCTTTCTCCCCTTCTTTCCCCCAGTCAAGTCTGTCCCGTGTTTAGCAAGTGAAAATAAAATAAAATAATCAATTAAAGCAAAGGTGAAACAAATAGACCAATACAGCAAGACTGGGATGGTCTATTTGGTAAAGTAAATCCGTTGGACTTCTTTCTTTGCCTTTAGACAACAATTCTGATGGCAAAAGAACCAATCAGGACAGGTGGGAAAAAAAGGCAAATGAATTACATCCAAAATTTTCATGATATTACAGGTTTTATTTTATGTTATTTCATTTTCAATATCTTTGTCCTTTTTGATATTAGAGAGTATAAAGTCACTCCCCTGAGGTTCAGATTTGTCCATTATGTTTATGTTTTACTATCTGGAGGAAAGTTACACAGATTTTAAATACAAAACATTTTGAATGCGTGCTAAGGCTGCTGGTACATCCTTAAAAAACTAGGAATAAATCAAGTGTATGAAAATAAACCAAGATAGTGTTACGAGTTCAAAATTGGGGATGGAGACAAGAGAAAAAACCACAATAACAACACTGGTCCGGCCGGGTTAAGTCAAACGATGATTTTAATAGTCACACGCGTGGGAGATGGACACTGTATGCAGACAGCCTCAGATCTCAAAATGGTGGAGCATTAATCAAACTCTTATAGCCTCTGGTTCCTCCCACCTTATCATAAAAGCCTAAACATTCACATGCTTTTCTCTCACACGGCGCCTAAGCTACGACCTTGGCTCCCTGTTTATCTGCTCCTGCTGAGATGGGGCAGAAAACTCCAGCATGCTCTGTTCTCTTCTAATCAGACAAATAAGGCGATGACTTTCTGCAAACAGTATTTCTTATAACATCATAAAACAATATCATTCATCCACAATAAATCAGCAGTCTAATGTAATGCAAATCAGTTTAACGAATGCAATAGTTATCAGCTTCTTCTAATTCAGGAGAATAATGCAAACTAAAACTACATAATAATTCACAATCTTTAACTAGGGGTATAACATGGCATAAAATAATATTATAATCTTACACTCCCCCTGATGAGCTCATTAGAATAATGAGCTCATCATGAGCTCATTAGAATAATGAGCTCACCAACACCCTATAATCCAGTGTGGCCGGGTTCATCTCTTCTCACTCCTGAGGTCCTTTGTCCCCCTGATGGGCGAACCATATGTGAGATGACCTCTGTGTTTGCGCAGTTCAGATGTAAGAAAAACTATTATTACAACAGTAGCCGGCTACAGATGACACTCCCCAGTTCTCCCCCAGCTTTATTTGGTGCTACCTTATACCCTTCACACGTACTCAGCCTAGAACCTCTGTCCAAGGAGCTTTTAGCCTTTATTTTATTGCTGCAGCTACCAGTGTCGTCCAGTTGGTTTTGATACGCAGCTCAATCGTCTGGATGTCCGTGCCAAGCTCCAGTCTACGCTGCTGCGCCAGCTCTTCCTCTGTCTCTCCCAGCCAAGTCAAGATTTTTGTTCAGGTCAGAGTTCAGCTGCTGCCACTGCTGCTCGTTCTGCTTTGTTCTCATCACAATAAATCAGCAGTCTAATGTAATGCAAATCAGTTTAACTAATGCAATAGTTATCAGCTTCCTCTAATTCAGGAGAATAATGCAAACTAAAACTACAGTAATAATTCACAATCTTTAATTAGGGTATGACATGGCATAAAATAATATTATAATTTTAACAATAGTCTCTGACACTACTCCGTTACATTTTCTTGAACTCATAGTTGGTGCACTGTAGAGGAGTTTCCTGTCCTCTGCAAATGACTCATATCTGCCATCATTAAAAGTTGGCAGGCACGTGGACGTCTGCACAAAACCTTGAGCTCAAAGTCTGACGACAAAATCCTCATCACTGAGCCTGGTAACGTAAACAATAGAAGTACTATTGCCATGTTTCATGCAGTCATTCAGTCTGACAGGAGCTCATGTCTGAAAACTGGTTATTGTGTCTGAGTGTAGAGTAGATTTGGTCGTGATCTCTGCTCGCCATATTGAGGCTTTGGTAGATCGAGTCTTCACATGAGGAGACTGGATGATAGCGTTCACTGAGACTAATCTGGGAAAAAAAACAAAACAATAAATTAACTGAACTGAGAAGAAAAGACAGAAACACAACAATAGCAGTGACACAACAGACCTAAAGCTGATGACATACTACAGGTCTTTAGTGTCAGGATGGAAACAGAAGCTGTGTGTTTTATACTTGCTTAGTATAAAGAGAAGTGGTATAAGTGGAGTTATTTATTTATTTATTTATTAGCAGTTTTTCAGTTTGCTCAGCTTCATAAAATGAATTTATTGTAACACAGCAGAGTCATTGAAACGCTGCTTTTGTTTTACCAACCAGACCTAAAAAAAAAATCTATTTCAAATGTAAAAGTATACGATGGAAAATGTCACTATTTGAATGAAAGCTGATCACTGCTGCCGCTGTGGAGGACAAATATTTATACAACCAAACATGTAAGCAGTGAAAAACAGTGAAGTCTTAATTTCTCTGTTTTTATCTTGAGTTTAGTTTCATACATATCCAGAAAAAACACATCTGCTTCTGAAACTACTAAATATGTTACTTTCTTGTAGTGTGCGGTTGCTGTCGTACTTGGGTTGATGGAAACAGCAACATTGTGACTAAAACACTAAGCTGCACGGCACAAAAGACCGAGATAAGCTGAGCGGGATTTAAAAAATCAGGTGATGATTCTTTTGGATTATTAATGTTCAAATTACAAACAAAAAGTTTTTCAGTGGAGTATAATGTTAATGCATGTTAGGCACATGCTGAAGTGCAATATTACTTAAAAGTTTCCCATTAGATCAGCACATAAACATAAATTGGAAATCCTGATCTTTTGTTTCTTTCCTGCTCAATAGTACAGTTTTTTTTTTAAGATGACAAAGAGAGTAAACAAGTAACTGATAAGTCACCTCAGTCTGGCCTTGTTCTGAGTGTCTCCTGCTGTTCAGACCTGTAGAAAAGACAGAAAGTTACTATTAACTTTATTCACTGAATTCTTACATGTTTTTTCAGAACCTAAAACATTTTCAGCAAAGTGCATTGTGAGTGCTTTTGCCTGTTGGATATAAACTGTGACGTAACCTGGGCACGTCAGCAACCAATCAGTGGCAAAAGAAATATTTTGAATTAATGAATATCAAATGTGCAGATAATGTTGGAAAGTAACTCACCGAAAGAGCCACCAGCCCATTTTCTGTAGATAAGCAGCAGAGCAACAGGCAGCAGAACCACCACCACAGTTATACTTACAACCAAATGCAAGGAGAAACCTGGATGAAAGACAAGAGAGGCGGAGACGCACAGTTCCTGGTAAATCCTGGTGAAATATAAAGTGAAATACTATCATCCCTGATCACGTGTAGCATTTGTGTGTGTGTGCATTTGATGCTGCCTTGCTGTTAGCAGTGATGTAATTATAAACAGTCTTTGTAAATAGTAAATTGTACACACTGATCATAAGCTGTTGCAGACTGGTAGAAGTGAGAGGCCTCATGTTTACTGGTTAAGAGCTTCTGTTAAAGAAATATGATTTATTTTCCTTTTACTCTTTTTAAGGAAGAGCACAATTCAGTAAAAACCTTATTGTTCTGTGTATGGATCATCTGTTAAGCAAATAAATTGCTGCTCCATGTCTTGAATTCTGTTCGATAAAGGTTACCGCTATAGGAAACAGAAATACATTACAGGAAATAATCTATAACATATAAAGTCCTACAGGAGCTCGTGAATCTTTCGTGTTAGACACATGTTTTTAGACACAAACGATTTTTCATGTTGAAATACTATCTTTGAAGTTCGGTGAATTTTCGGTGTACAAAAACAGCTCTTTCTTGACACTTTCATGGTTTAGAACTGAGCACTAATCAGAATAAATGTTCTGAATCCTCTAGATGTATGAGGAGAGGCAGAGTGTAATCAAGTGCTGCATTTCAGTAGGAGTAAATCCTAAAGTATTTTTTTATAGTAGAGTCTAGATTAAAAAAAAAAAAAAGACCACATTTTATTTTATTTTTTTCCAAATACAGTATCAATATGAGTTGAAGTGAAATAAAATGACACTTATATGGTTTAGTTTTATCTGCAAAGAAAACCTTCTAAAGATTTGTGAGAGAATTTTCCTTTGTCTGTGACTGTTGTAGTGAAACGTGTATAATTATAGATAGAATTTATTTTTATCTTTTATCAAGACCACATGTAGTGATGCTCTGAGAAAGTCCCTCAAAGCTGTTGACATTTCATTTAACTGTTGTGCTGTTCACTTCATTACATCTATGTCATAACTTTTCTTCTTCTATAGTTTCAGCTTAATGTTACGAAATGTAATTTAATCCCACAATCCTAGAAAATTAGAAGCAAGTCCATTTTATAGTTAACAGACGTTAAAGTTAAAATCCAAAAAATATAATGTCCCCGTTTATGAAATAAATTGTATTTTTACTTTGATAATTCTGTTTTAGTGCCAATACTTTCGTTTTCTGTTACTTCTAACAAAGTTGTGTATTTCTGTGGGGCGATCGTGGCTCAAGAGTTGGGAGTTCGCCTTGTAATCGGAAGGTTGACGGTTCGAGCCCCGGCTTGGACAGTCTCGGTCGTTGTGTCCTTGGGCAAGACACTTCACCCTACTGGTAGTGGTCAGAGCAGCAGCCGCGCCTCTGTCAGTGCGCCCCAGGGTGGCTGTGGCTACAATGTAGCTGCCATCACCAATGTGTGAGACTAGTAAGGCGCTATACAAATACAGGCCGTTTACCATTTCTGCATTTTCAGTAATAAATCAGACCGGTGCTTACACAGCTATTGATGTTTCGTTCATGAACATGGATGAGGTTCTTTGACAGACATATGGATGGATGCACACTCCATTCACACAGACATGCACACATGACGTACCTGAGTCAGGTATTGTTGTTGTTCTTGTTGTTGTCATGGAGACTGAAAAGAGAAATAGTGATATTGGAAAAGGTCGTGAAGTGTTGTTTGATGGTGACGTGATTAAAGCTGCAAACACAGAAGCAATCAAAACTATAAGATTCCTGCTTGAAGACTTTTTGCATGAGAGTAATGGGGGTTAATGTGTGTTTTGCATGTGAAATGAGGATGTGATACTTAACATTCAGAGACTTCAGTGTGTCAACATCCATGCATCTCTTATTATCACAGATATTTTAAAAATGCTGAGAAAACAATGTTTAAATTTAGTTTGTTTAAATATATTTTGTAAATCTATTTTAATCCTCGTTTTTAAGACTAGTTTCACTGCATTGTGGTTGTGACATGGAAGTTCAAATTCTTTCCTGTTTTTGTAGAGCCTGAAAAGAGAAACACTGATGTTGAAGAAAGTTGTGTTTGATGCTGAAATGATTGAAGCTGTGAACAAGCAAGTCTTTTGTCTGATTTTTTCCTTGTTTGTTTGTCTGCATGCAAGTAATAACATATGGAGTTTATTTAAACAGAAAACAAGCTGAGAAGTAAATGTTGATTCAGAAACATGAAGAAGATTTTTTAGTAGAGACTCACCTTCTTTGACAAAGATCTTGAAATCACATGGTTGTAAAGTTGTGTCCAGTGTGCATCTGTACCATCCTGAGTCAGACTTTTTCAGCTGTGTGATGCTCACGTGCACGATATCCTTTGAGAAATAATTTTTTTCATATTTGATTCTGTATCTGCCACTCTGGGCTGTGTAATCAGGTGTTTCAATGAGAACGTTTCCTTTTTCACATTCGTCTTTGCAGAACAATGTCTTTCTTCCAAGGATATAAAATTTGCATTCGACTGTGATGTTTCCTCCTTCCACTCCTTCATAGACGAGAGTTTCAGCGTTGGCAAGTCCAGTGTTTCCATCCTGCAGGTCTGTTGAAAATATGAACAGTTACCTGCAGTCTGAATAAATATTTTAAACTAAATTGAAAAGATGTAATTATTTAAAACAAAATAGCTCAAATTAGTTTCAATTCAATTTCACCTAAAATCTCTACTTTTACTTTTGAATTTGTGAACAGAAGTCTTCCAATTCTTCCTTACAGCTGCAAAAAGACATCAGCGTCAGGCTAAGCTCGAAAGCTTAGTTACAGGCTTAGTTTTGTTTGTGATGACTTCTTTATTTGCTTTTTGTGTATTTGTCTGTCAGATGAGGTTTTTGAAATTGTTGTTTAACACATGTTGTAAGGTTTTCAGTTTGTCACCATGAGGCTGTGCTGTTCCTTTTTAGCTTGAAAAAATTGTTGACACATTGACTTAAAAAACATGAATTTTTTAAGGCTTCATAAGGTCTAAATGGTGAGTCATTCAAAAAACTTTGAAGTTCTGTAAAATACTTGTAGCATTTAGTTATTTAAAAATACTGTTTAAGTCCACTTTAATTTTAATGACCAATTTACATTATTCATAATATATATGCTAAAAGTGCATTAAACTGTGTGCCTCTTGTCTTTATCATTTCATTTTTAACCTTGCTGCAACTGGCTTGAACTTATTTTCAGGATGAAATATGAAAACAGAACAAAGCTGCCTGCAACTACAGAACAGGTGGTCCTCTCATTACGCCAAAAAGAAAACAGGCAACCAGGTTTTAGAAAACAAAATCAGTACACAAATAAGAGGGAGATGGTTATTTCTGAAGTTAGCATTAAAGGTGAAAAATTTCTGGAACAATAACATTCTTCAACATATCTGTGGCCTTAGAGAGACTAGGATCTGAGTCTACCGGTTCGTATTTATAGCCAATTCAATGAGTTGAGACAGGTTCTTCAAGATTGGGCAGTCCAGAGAAATAACAAGAAGAAAAATTAAACAGAATTCAACAAGGCTGCCTTGGAAAGATGTTTCTCTTCATAGGATTCATAGGATCATATCATCGTGTGATCAAATAAGACCTGATCTCCACTTCAAGGGACAGAAAATAATAAATAAATAGATAAATAATGATTCTGAAAAGAAATTTGCAATGCTTACATTTTTTAAAATCGAAATATCAAAACATTTTTTCTTCTGGATCTCAGGAGGATGTTTTCAACTTTAAACACCACATTGAAAAAAAACGCGTGAGTGATGAAACAGTATGCAGACAAAACTGTTTATGAGGAACAAAACTTACAGACGATCTCCTAAAAAACAAAGATAAAGGCCAGCGATGGCGAGAACAGAGAAATGAGAGAAATGTGAGGTTAATTTACTCACTGAGGAAGATGAAACAGAGTAAAGCTTGACAGACTTTCATATCGAGGCTTTGGTGGGTTCATGCTGCTTCTCTTCCTTTTTCACTCACAAACAGGAACTTGTGTTTTTTGGGTTTTTTAAAATGATGACACTTCTCCTTCAAACACATCACACACAGATACACACTCTTCCCTTCTTCATTTAAAAAAACGTGGTCCTACAGAATCCATTTATTTATCCTTTCGGTTTTCTTAGCTTTATTTAGTTTTTACTGACACAAGCTGTTTGGGTTTAATTAAATTACATGTATGAATTTACTGGATGGCAGTATTGTAGTTTCATCGGGTCAAACAATGAACACAAACCCGTCAAACTGCAAACACTGCCTAGCAACTGTTTTTACTCTACAATCAAAGTTATTCTAAAGCCGTACTCAGCTGGATTTCTGTGAGTCTCAACACACAGTTCCTTAACTGTGCTGTAGGATATAAAATTCTGATATTTATACTGTTCAGCACTAATGGATTTCAATTCAGTCAAACATTTCTTAGAACCAAAGGGTTCTGCACAGAGAAAATTACCCCTGATATAGTTTTAATGAAAGTCTTTGTTTGTTCAAGATATAAATCTCCATATTGCAAAACGTATTGCTAGTTTGAGATGACGGTGCACCGCAGGCAGACAGACATGCATGTGGTCAAGACGAATACTAAGACAGGCTGTGACATTAAAACCATGACTTAAGCAAGTAGGCCAACCTTCCCACAACTGCAACACTACCAGCAGCAGCCTCTTGACTTCTGCCCATACCAACCAGAGATTAGGCCGACACTGTGGAGCTGTGCAAATTACACTACTTTTATTTTTAACAGAACTTTAAGCAATATGTGTTGGCTTACCCTTAGAAACCTCTGCTACAAAAAATCTGATTTAACTGCGTGCAGCAGGTAAGAATAAGGACACTTCCTTCTTTTGTGACACGTCTGCTTGAGAATTTTCCTCATTTACTCAATAGCACAACTTTGTGGCAGGAACTTTTAGTCCACAGAGTTCTTATGGATCAGTATTTACATTCAAATTGCAGAGGTTTCTCCAGGGGAAAGCCCTTTTACGCGGCAGCCATACTGAAACATATCTGGGTACTTAGACGGGCAGTTTGGGCAGTTATTTGGAATCATTGGACATGAACAGAATATCCAGTTAAATCTGAGAAAAGAAATTACTGCCTTCATACAGGAAAGAAAGAAAATAGAACCGGGTAAACAAGTTTGAATTTATTCTGGATTTTCTACACAACATCAAAAGTATACATACAGGCTCAAATATATACTTACACTGACTTTAATTTTTTACCATCCAAGAAGGAGAAATATATATTTAGACGAACTGGGAAGATCTCTTGGAACCATTTCTAAACAACTGCAGATTCCACGATTATCAGTTCAAATAACTGTATGTAAGTAAAAGTTATTTGGATGTGTCAGCACTTTGCCAAGTAGCATCATGGTCTGAGGCTGTTTTGCTGTGGTACTGTACATCGCACAAAGTGGATCGAATAATGAAGACAAATGACTACATCCAAATATTTCAGCTTCACCCCAAATCAACAGCTCTGCAGTTTAAACTTAAATTAAACTGGGGTGAAGCTTCAGGACCGTGATCCCCAACACAATTCAAAACAAGTTTTGGAAAAAAGCAAGCTAACATTACGCTTCTCAAATGACCCTGACCTCAATCCTACCAAATATTAGTGAGGTTATTGTGTACAGATATTATAGCCTGCAGTCTGTCTCAAATGACCCGTGTATGGTCCCGTGTCAGACTTTTTCAGTTGTGCGATCCTCACATACAGAATATCAGATGACATAATTTTTATCTACATACTGAATGCTGTATCTGCCATTTTTAGCTGTGTTCTCTGTTGTTGCAATTAGGATATTTGTTTTTTCACATTTTCCCTTACAGAAGAACTTGTTGATTCCAGAGTAAGAAAATTTGCATTTAACTCTGTTTTCTCCTTCCATTATTCTATAAGTGGGAATTCCTCTATTGACTTGACCAAAGTTTCCGCTGTGCAGTGCTGTAGAAATGATGAACAATCAATAGCTAATATGTACCCTGTAATATGTTGTTGAAATATTTTTGTGTACAATTAATTCACTTTATGTGAAAAGTCGTAACTTGTTCAAATTAGTTCAGCTGAATTTCCAATTTCTTACTTTACTTTGAAGGAGGACAGGGACAAGTTGCTTTGATAAACATGTGGATGGATCCACGCTCACATCACACCAACCTACCTGAGCCCGATGAATGACTCTCTGTCATGGTTGAGTCATGGAAGTTCAAATTCTGTGTTATTGTTGTTGTGGAGACTGAAAACAGAAATACTGATGTTGAAAAAGTTGCGAAGTGTTGTTTGATGTTGAAATGATTGAAGCTGTGAACAAAGAAAATATCATCTTTGTCATTTTTGTGTGTCTGCATGAGAGCAATGGGAGGTAATGTGTGTTTTACAGCAGAGCTTCGCATGTGAAATGAGGATGTGTTGCTTAATGTTTAGAGACTTCAGTGTGTCAACATCTATGCAGTGCTATTTCTCTCATTATCATTCACATTTAAAAAAAAGTAACATTGTTGCTGCATCAGCTCCAAGCAGAAACCGGTTTGACAAACAGAGCAAATGACATTAACATTTAGTTTTCTAAATCTATTTTAATCCTTGTTTTTAAGACTAATTTCTAAGGTATATTTCAGTGGAATGAAAAGCCAAGTACAGGGGTGGATATTTCATTGGATATTCAACAACAAGTTAACCATTTCTAGGCAGAAAAACGAGCACGAGAACCACAGAAAATAACAATATACATAAGAAACAGAATATAATAACAATATATTTAAAACTATATAAGAAATATATTAAAACAGTTTACCATTAAAATGTTTCATCAACCATGCAAAACTTAATGATTAATTAAAAGAAAACTAAATGACAGGGGATTTCTTTAGATCACCCTGTAATTCTTCAGCTAAGACACCTGAGTTAGAAAACACAAAGACTGCAGTCGTTTTTACACGCGTGGGCAGCAACTTCTGAGATCGGCACTCTGCGTCTGCCTGCGTAGTTTATTTATAGGTCTTATGTCTGTGTGGTTTTGTGTGTGTGTGTGTGTTGTCTGTGTGTGTGTGTGTGTGTGTGTGTGTGTGTGTGTGTGTGTGTGTGTGTGTCTGTGTGTAAAAATAACAACGTCACTCAGAATCAACAGGTTCTTGCCCTTTTCTACAACTGCATGTTCTCGGAAAGAGCTGCGGTTTTTCTTCTCTACACTCTAACTGATTCTCTAAAAACAGGAAGTGATTTAGTAGCTGAATAAGTTCATCACAAAGTTATTAGGTGAAAAGTCACATAGACATGTAGATTGCTCAGTAAACAGAAAAAAGCACATTTCATGAAGCTGATCAAATTATATATATATAAAAAAAAAACTCTTGACACAAAGACAAGTAACACCCAGAAAGCACAAAATTACAAGATTACAGCGATAAAGCAGAACAAAAAGTGACAGGCTCTCATGTTAAGGTTCTGATGGTTTAATGCTGTTGTCTTCCTTCTTCACTTGTAAACCAGGAACCTTTCACTTCTCTTAATGATGAGACCCATTCGTCAGCTCTGCATTTCTACTTATTTATTTATATTATATCTCATGTTTTCTATACCCTGAAAAGATCTCACGTTGTTATCCTCATCCAAAATCACACATGTACCTGAGTGCTGAAAACTAGAAATTGACTGTACAGTACAGGAGTACTGTACTCGTGGCTCAGGGGGTTGGGAAGCGATCTGTAACCGGAAGGTCCCGGTTCGATCCCCGGGCTCTCTGTCCTGGTCGTTGTGTCCTTGGGCAAGACACTTTACCCTACCGCCTACTGGTGTTGGCCAGAGGGGCCGATGGCGCGATATGGCAGCCTCGCTTCTGTCAGTCTGCCCCAGGGCAGCTGTGGCTACAACCGTAGCTGCCTCCACCAGTGTGTGAATGTGAGAGTGAATGAATAGTGGCATTGTAAAGCGCTTTGGGTGCCTTGAAAAGCGCTATATCAATCCAATCCATTATTATTATTATTATTACTGTTTTAACTATAATGATAATTATATCCATAGGAAACAAATGTCATCAGTGATATTTCAGAAAAATACAAACCCTTTATTTGTGTGCATTTTGTACTATTCAAAAATATCTCTGTTTCTGTATATTGAGGCCAATGCACAATGTTACGTCCCTTGGCTTATGTGTCATCTCATGGAAATATGATGGACATTTAAAGACTCTACACAGGGTAGTTTGTGTGTCAAATGTAGATAAAAATAGTGCAATGACAAAAACAAAAGTAGTAAAGTAAATGGTGAATAATTATTAAACTATTAAGAAGAAATTCTAAAGAAAAATAAGTTAACAAAGGAAGGCGTGATGTGGTTGTGAAGATAAACGTGATTAGGTGGAAATAGCACAGAATCAGCTGATTACGCTGTAGTACAAAAAAGTAGCAATGCAATAGTGAGTTTTGATTAGTCCTTAGCTCTCATTAATAATTTGCTTTTCTGAAAAGTGAACCCAGGGCTAACCTGGATGAGATGAAATCCTGCTTCACAAATTAATCGTTGGGTTTCAGAGAAACTTATTTTAGTGCCAGTGAGCTTTTGTTTTGTTCACCAGATGAAGTGTTACTTAAAATAACAACAAAATAAAAAACATCATGATGCAATCTTATAAAAGTCAAAACTAAATGTAGCCTTTTTATCAAAACAGCCTTTTTGCCTTCGAGTTGTCACATTCTTCTTATGTTGATGTAACTATATTTTCATTGGATTTCACAAGGAACGTTGCATTAAAACAATTCCCAATAGGAAGTTTGAATAAGCAGTCATCTAAAAATTTGCATGAAGTGAAAATATTACTCCAAGGAAAAATGAAAAATATATGAAATTCTGTGATATTAAAGTCACAAACTTATGTGAACAATATAAAAAGTCAGTATAAAAGTCATTGCAAACAACACAGTTTATAATAAATTTTGCTGTCCTGTTGTCTGTACTATTATTAGACAGTGCTGTGGCTTTGTGATGCAGTTTGTAGTTTGACATTTGAAGGCAAACCTTTTTTTTCTCTTGTTCTTTCTACGCAAATTTGAAAGCTTGATTTTTCCCCCTCCTCTTTTGATTTTAGAAATTAGATTACCTGCACCAAACACATATTCTATTTTCCAACTTTGCTGGTCTCGTTCAGTCAAACTTGTGGTGCAGACAATTCATTTTTGTTAAAATTATGAATGCAGCAAAGGTGTGTTTGCATCCATTCATGAATAAAGATGGAAGTGAAAATTTGTTTTACGACACCACCGTTTCTGAGTTCTCATACATCGCCACTAGGTGGTGCCTTTGAGTTTTTGATCCATCGACTATGATGTAGTGCTTCCTCACTGGGAAAAAATACCTGCGTTGTACATGCTGGTAAGGTTTATAGCTGGGTTATCACCACATAGAAGAGGGAGGTCTTGCAGTACAACACTGCACAGTCCTCTTCCATCTGACTTCACACAGAACCAGACGCTATACCATAAATACGTTTACAATAGCAATAAAAACTTCACCATGTGTTACAATACAGCTGCAGAGGGGAAAATAACCAGGCACAACAGGACCTGTACTACTACATTTGCACTAGAGGATAGTTTGTATTTATGAATTAATAGCAGAAACGTGCATAAGTATAAATGTGTGTAAATGTTGGATGGAAACAATTTAGATGTAGAAAACAGAATGAATGTCTGTGAATGGGTGAACGAGGCGTGTTGTATGAAGCACTTTGAGTGTTCAAATAGAGTAAAAATTGCTATATAAGAACCAGTCCATGTACCTTTATATATAAAAATATTCTGCAATCAAGACCATACAGTAAAAACTGTCGATGTTCATGTTTATTTTAATTAAGATTTAAAAATCAGGTTGAGCACAGTGAAGCAAACTAAAATAAGAACACAAAGATCCTTGTGCAAATCCAATAACCCACAGAACTGTGATATTGTTAAGATTATAAAAACAATTAACACAGTACTTTCAGTGTCTGTGTCAGTACAAAATTACACAAACAAGCAGGTTTGTGAGCAAAGCTGGGGGCCTATAATTCAATTTGGTGTTTTGCTCATTTATTTGTTTTTTTATGGTGGGTTGCATTTTGTTTCATCTGTGGATTTAGGCATCTTCACATTAAAGTCTAACATGTGGTTGGATTTGCTGGATTTGTTGAACCTTCCAAATCAGCTTCACTTTCAAGCCTGAACAATAAGACTGCGCCATGTATTATAGAGATTATGGGAGCCAAGTATGATCGAAAACACTGGATAATGAGGCAAGAAGAGTGCAGTCCCAAAAGCTTTATTAAAATAATATTTTAAATCAATTCATCCATGTTTTTTTTTTTTTTTTGCTTGTTTACATTGCCAACAGAAAGTATACAGAAACTGTCTCTAGTGAACTTGTCTTTAGGGTTTTCTGACAGAATGTTTTTGAGTTTTCTGCAGCTTTTCATGCCATTATTCACTTTTCAGTCTCAGTTTTGTTGGGTTTGGGCAAGAAAGACATCACTTGAGGTAAATTTCTACATGTGAAAGAAGCTGTTTTGCTAACTCCATTTATGGATGTTTCTCCAAGAACAACCTGCTGACTGACCTGAGACCACTGCATGCTCTCACACAGCAATGGATGTTCCATGTCAGTTGGGTTTTCCTGTATTTGTTAATGGAAAATACTCCAGTTTCCAAAAAGTATGCATGCAATCAATTATCTGTTAAGTTAAAGTAGATATTACTAAGTAATTAAATAAATTAATCCGAGGCTAATAGTTTGAACATTCAGTTGACTTAAATAAGCAGAAAAGAACCTCATTTTCTATGAATTACGAACACCTGTTGATCTTTGTGAGAGGGAAGGTGCCATCGGCAGCATTAATACCGTTTTTTAACTGCTGAGTACAGAGGAGATGAAGAATCTTTGGTGTTGCTGGAGGGGCTGGTGTGTACCACAGGTGTGGAGTAAATAGCATCAGTTGCATTACGAGATGGAGCGCTGTTGGTGGCAGGAATGTGGGAAAAATCGACTTCAGAGTAATGAAGAGTACTTGAGTTGTCTTCAGCCTGAAAGAAAAGTGAGAACAAACTTTAGTTTCTTAAAAGCAATTTTAAACAAATAATTTTTTATAGATTTATTTAAGATAAGATAAGATAACCTTTATTAGTCCCACGCGTGGGAAATTTTCTTTGTTACAGCAGTGGACAGTGCAAAGTTGCATAGAAAAATCAGAGAACAACACTGGAATAAGATATCAATAAGATACTGTACACAATAGAATAGAATAAAATAAAATAAAATACTACATACAATCGAATAAAATAGAATAAAATAGAATCCAAATGCTATATACAATTCAGTATAATACAGCGATGCCAGAAAAAGAGTAATGCACTTAGTGTTATTGCTATTGCACATGTGTGGGTTTGTGTGTGTTTGATCAGTGGAAGTCTTTGTTGTGGAGTCTGACAGCAGAGTGGAGGAAAGACCTGCAAAATCTCTCCATCCCACATCGTGGGTGCTGCAGCCTGCCACTGAAGGAGCTGCTCAGTGCTGCCAGAGTCTCCTGCATGGCGTGGGAGATGCTGTCCAGCAGGGATGACAGCTTAGCCACCATTCTCCTGTCACTCATGCCTCTGGGTCCAGAGGGCATCCTAGAACAGAGCTGGCCCTCCGGATCAGCCTGTTCAGTCTCTTCCTGTCCCCGACAGAGATGACTGAGGCCACCACAGAGTCATAGAAGGTCTTCAGGAGTGGGCCCTTCACTCCAAAAGACCTGAGTCTCCACAGCAGGTACAGCCTGCTCTGCCCTTATGCATAAACAGTAAAAATCCACATTTTGTGTCCCAAATCTTTCTAACATCCTCAGTTATTCTCAACATTGTTGAATACACAAAAATGGAGTGTACAAAACAAGCTAGCTACTTTACTGATGCAAAACAAATCCACAGCAACACTAACTACTTCCTCCAAAATCTTCGTAAAATTGATTAATCATCTCTCGAAATACATTTTGAACAAATAGTGAACATAATTTCATCAGTGAAGGTTTCATCAGCTGCACATCTCTTTCCCATTGACATTCCTAAACTCAGTGCAGCGAATGACCCAATTAAAAAAATTAAATGGCGAACAAAGTTTACAGAAACTACAGCTGATCCTAAGTAAGAAGTCAAACTTCTTACTTCTCCGGTGGCGCCAGTGTCCGGCAGCCTCGCCTCTGTCGGTGCGCCCCAGGGGCAGCTGTGGCTACGATGTAGCTTGCCATCACCAGTGTGTGTGTGTGTGGGTGAATGACTGAATGTAGTGTAAAGTGCAAAGGGGTCCATAGGGACTAAGTAAAGCGCTGTACAAATGCAGGCCATTTACCATTTACTTCTTACTTAAAACCAAAAATTGAGAACACATGAGCCCTGTTTTAGCTTCTTTTCACTGGTGACCTGTTAATTTGAGAATTGACTTGAAGATTTTTTTTGTGAATTTTCCAAGGCCCTATGTAGCCCCGTCATCAAAACGTATTTCTAATCTGCTGACGCTGTACTTGCTCAGCCATAACCTGAGGTCCTCATTACTTTTTTACTCAAACTGTTACCTAATTTAATATAAAGATCCAGATTTCTGACCTCAAAGCTTAAAATCAGACCACAATTTTACTTACTGTGTTCTGAGGAGGGGTGCTGAGGCTGTGGAAGTCTATGTTTTCAAATCCATGGGATTGGGAGTATTTGGGGTACGTGTAAGCTGAGGACACACCCAGGGGAGGCAAAGTGTCCATTTCTCTGATCTCTTCATAGAGCTGGTTCACCTGTAGAGAAAGAAGAACCCAGGTTATTCATACAAATCAAGCAGTAATGAAGCTCCGGTGTCTCAGAATTCCTGTAACTCGCCTGTGTGATGTCACCATTTTCATTTTCCAAAGGTCCTGAAAGACATGCAGGTCAAAAAATAAGCCACATTTGAAGAATTAAACCAGAAACTCTGTTATTTTCATTCATTTCTGCTTTTAAAAACGTTTTTCTTTCTTCCACACACGGACATCTCC